TCTTTTCTTTTCTTTTTTTCTCTTTTCTTTTCTTTTTCTTTTCTTTTTTCTTTTCCTTTTCTTTTCCTTTTCTATCATTTCTTTCATTTTCTTTCTTTCCCTCTGTTGTTTCCCTTAGTGACCCCAGACCCCACAGCACAAGACATTATCACAGTATCACGAAGACTGCACTGCCTATCTGTATGGGCCCGGTCAGTGCCTCTGGGGTCATCGCTGCTCAGAGCCAATTCTCTTTTTTGCGTAAGAGAACACACTAGAAAGGAACAGCCGTGCCATGTTACATCATACAATGCCTAAGACAAACAGGTTCAACAACAAAATAAGAACTACCTCCAATAAAATATATTACATAATACACTTGAAGTCAGCAAGTTCTCCATCTTTTTACATCAGCAGTAATCCAATATCCAACTGCTTAGACTTCAGAATTCAAGTCAACCAAGTTTCTAAGAAACTAAAATCAATAAATAAGTAGAATTCTTGTGAACTTTGTGAAAAATTTGTTGAGTAATAATTGAGAATTTGCAATTTAGTAAAAATGTTTCTATACTAATGAGACTTTACAGCACTATGTACCTATCACATAAAAAATACACTAACCTCAGATCRTGAAGTTCTGATCCTGATCCAGTTACAAGCATGAATTCTCCAGGATACAGTTGAGAGACAGTTAGTTCAGCATAAACTTTTCCTCTTGGTGTTAACATATGGCTTATATTTGTGGAACCCACCTAGAGAGTAAAATTTGTGATTATTAAGAATGAAAAATAAAACTTTTGAATTCTTACATGTAATGAATTATATCATTATTTGTCTTCATTTGAAGAAAACAAATCTTTTATATTTGCTCTGCTATGCCATAATGGGGATGGAGAGATACACAATTGTAAATCATAAGCTTTAGAGTAGAAACTTCACCTTTTCCTTTACAGAAAAAATTGAGATTTTTAAAGTAAGGTAAATCAAGATCTTTATAAATATTTCTTAATTATTCATTACACAAAGCACTCCACWTTAGTTTTCAGAATGCAYTTTTAATGCAAATTCATTCAACTTYAGTTTGWTCTCTTGCCATCTAAATAAAAAATTTTCCRCGTTATTGACATGAATGTTCTTTTTCAATCTTGTGAATAAGGCTTTCAGGTCCCAAAAGGATAACATATGCTGTTCCCTTTACTATAAAGAGAGAAATACTGAGCTGGCTATACTTCTGTGGGCCTTATTTACATGTGCTTTTCTATTTTTTCTAGTTGCTGACTATGAATCTCTATCTCTGCACATTTGTATCAGGTTCTGTATAGAAACTCATTCCCTAGAGACAAAATTTCAAGTAACAGTTSCTTAGCAGTGACCATCAAACTCACAGATGTGAATAGATATATCATCCATAAAAATAAAAATATAAATGTGCCATGGATGTTGTGCTGGCCTGGCTTCAGAGGCAGAATTTAATCTCTCTTATTTCACTCTGATTTCCCAGTCAATCATCCAGTTRGTGGCCAGATTCGATACAATGAATGGAGACAAGAAAATTATTTCAGGTATTAAGTATTTTCCAGGTCTTATTACATATTGAATTGTGCCATAGTCACTGGCATATTACAGGCATATAATTGAATTTTCAGGACCTGACCAATCTCAACCCAGTTGCAACACAAGTACACCTCCGGTAACTCCACTGGATTATTTTACAAGGGAGACAAGCATGAATGGTAAGAAAAAGCCATGTAGCTTAACTAACAACTGTTGTGAATGCTGAATTTTTAAGTGCACACATAAACTATACCTTCTGCTTTGGCACCTAATTTCCCCTTATAATTCTCTGTTTAATCTTGATTTCCCTGTGCCAAMTAAATACATTCAGCAAGTGTTACCCYTGCGTATTTTATCACAAAATTAATAAAGAACATGACTGCATGGCAATTCAAGTTTTTCTTTCTCCTAGGATTTCAATATTGTACGTTCCCATTCAGTTGACTTATCCTTTCCGAAGAGCTTATCTACCTTCAAAACTATAGTCTCAGTACTATTTCCCTATGCTTTCTTCCTCTGGTGTCTGAAACAATGAAAACTGTCACCAGCTGCAAATCCTTTATGAAATTCTGTGCTGCAATAACCAACCCCAAGTCATTCTGCAACTGCAAGGTTACTTCCTTCAGAAAGGAGYAATTTGCCTGCTGGAGGTGTATCTCTAAAGTTAAAGACACTACACAAGAGTGCTTGACAAAGCAGAAAGAAAAAAGGGCTCATGGAGCCCAACCAAAACTTGACCAAGAATAAGAAACCTGTTTCTCACAGTATGTTTTGCCATTTTTGAGCACAAGATCATAGTCTGAGGATCTGTGAACAGCCACGCTCATGAAGAAAGGATAGATGGGAACTGAAAGCAGAATTCCCTGATTATTTGCAACTTTACTTGCATCAGGCAGCCATCTGCAAAGCAGAGTCAGTATGAGGCAGAGGAAAAGAAGTACGGGTTGCATCTGAATAAAAKACAACAAAGCTGCTCCCTTGGGAATTCATGCAACTATGGTCAGGCAAGAGCCTCTTCCACTGTCCTGCTCTGCTGCTCAAGCTGCCATCATGCAGCATAGTTTTGGGCTGGCAGACACCAAGATATTCTACTAAAAAAAATTCCAGGTAAGATTCATTTGTGCTTATTAGAAAAAGATTTGAAACACAACAGCCTGTCTGAACTTCTTTACTATAAAATGTTATATTATTATTAAGAATATTACATATTCCTAGGCAGCAAGCTCCAGGTGACACTTGTCCAARAGGAGTTTAGACAAGATGATATCCAGAGGTCCCTTCCAACCTCATCCATTCAGATTCAATGATCTCTTCCAAAAGGTACTTCTGTGTGGGGCCACTTTAGGATAAACTCCACTTCTGTGCTCTTAATGAAGTGTGATACATCTGATAAAGAATGTTCGCCAAAGGATTTGTGTACTTGGTATCTGAGAAATAYGGGAATAGTATCATGCTATGTTTTCCATATCTGAAACAGAGATTGTCTAAGTTCTACATCACAGGAGTTAYCACTGTCCCATTTACCTTTGGAACAACATTTGCAAATAGATGATCAAGCAGCTTAACAGAATCTGTGCCTTTTACTTTAAACTTGCCAAATGGTGATAGGTCAATCACACCAACTTTTTCCATAACCTGTTTATACTCACGACCCACAGGGTCAAACCAATTTGTGCGCCGAAAACTGGGTCTGAAACAGAACATTTAGACACATAAAACACAATTTAGAATTTTGTGCTCTTTTCAGTAAAAAGTAGTCTTCAGTTTTTTCAGTTTAATAATCATCCAGAAGAGATAGACTTTCCTAATTGTAGGCTTATCCAATATTTTCCTTAGTYTAACACAGCTTAATAATTAAAATCCTTTAACAACACAGACAGATATGGGTTGATATTATATCAAGCACTTTGTATAAAAAAAAGTGAACTGTTCAAATGTTAGAATAAGAACCAGTCTGCCAYGAGCGAATTTACAGCATCTTTGTTGATAATCATTTATTTAAGTGTAAGGTGTCAAAGGCTTTATTTCTGATCAGCAAAGTGTGTCTCTATTCCTTTATGAGCTTTATTTAGATTATACTCCAATATCCCCATAGAAAATATTTATTTGCTGGAAACTCCCTGATGCAGGCARCTAACCAGGTGGGCAGGCATAGAGAAGGAAAAATCAAGAAAAGAAGATTGGGCTTTTCCTCTCCAGATATTTATACAGAGAGAAATGAGCTTTTTCATTAAAATACTATACTGCTTTGCTGATCAAATGGTGAGAGATGGAGAAAAAACATGTTTATAATGAACAAGTTGTTTTCCAAGCTCTTCCTYGTGTAAGGCTGCTTCCTGTTATCTCAAACATAGAACAGTTACAAGACACCTTGATGTGTGTTTTGAAATGTCTGTATTATCAGAATAAAATGTATCCTGAAGTATGGGAAAAGCAAGAATGGAAGATCAATCCAATAGATACCTGCAGCTGAAATGAATAATAAATGCATGCCTTYCATTAAATTTAAATTGCCTGGCTCTTGCTATAATGAAAATTTTTCAGGGGAGAAAAAAAAGCAAACTTATAATTTACTTGTATCCAGTCTCATCTCCAGGTTTGTAGAACCAATGAGGTTGCTCCCATCCTGCATGAAAGCCCATTGAACATTTTGACTTTAGCAAATCGTACAGCCCACTGGTTCTCTCTGTTGGTCTCCCAGCAAACCTTTCTTCTTTAGGGTAACCAACTAGAGGAAGAAAAAAAAACAAAACTGAAAATCACCAAAAACTATAGCATACTATGATCATACAAGATAGAAAAGACATCTATAAACAGAGAAATCTACATACAGGCTTTGCTGGAATCCATCTGCAGGACACAAATATATTTAAAAAAATACCTTCTTACCAATATTATTAAAGCCATAAGATTCTCTTGCTTTGGCTGCTGTGTATTCTGTAGTGGTCCACTTTCCATAGCGGTTTGGATCTACTTCTATCAGGTCAAATGGAGGTTCCCCCTCAAGGATCCAGTCACTGAGGTACTTTCCCATGCCACCAGCATGTATRATGCCATACCTTAAAAACAGGAAAAAGTCCTGCACTGCCAAGTCTTTTATGTTCTGTTTTTTAAAAGTCAGTACTACCATATACTAACACAGACCTCAAAGCATTTTAAACATTTCCCTCTTTTTTTTTTTTTTATTATTTGTTCTGTTGTGTCATATTTTCAAAGACTGCATACTGTATTAACAGATATTTCTACTGCTCCACTCTCAGCAGCAGAATGTCATTGGTAATGTACAGCAGTTGCAGTGCTTGCTAGCAAGCTATTTCTCTAAAATACATGATTTAACAATCTTTTCCATGGAAATTAACATCCTTAAAAAAATAATACTAAAGAAAGTTCTCAAACTTCTGATGTCCATTAAATACACTTTCYAGTCATAGTATACCTTTTTTTTCCAATTAAGTTTGACTAAACCAGACTCAGATTTTAAATCCATACTGAGACATTCTGGCAGCTACTGTATTTATATTCCAGTGAAAAGAGCAAGAGCAGCAAAATCAGGAGACAATTCTACAGAGATATCAATATGGAATCTGAAACACCAGGACTACTTTTATACTGCTGCACAGAAAAGCAAGCAATGTAGAGGAAACGGAAAGAAAAATAGAAGACTTGCCTGCAATGGTGCCAGAGTTTGAGAACTGCCTTTCCCCACCTGATTTACCTCCTCTGTTCTGCACTACAGTAGCAAAGAGAGCTGGTTCCATAAAGCTTATGCCAATAAAATAAACATTTAGAAATGTTCTGCTACCTTGTCATRTAGCAGACAGCAAAAGTAGATGCTCAAAAGTTGTATTATGTTTCTGTAATTAAACATTTCACRCATAATTCCAACCATCAAGATGCTTGATATCTTACCATCCATACGGAAAAATGTGTTCCTGCAAGGTACCTGAACTGGAAAGTGGGACACACAGATTTTGATGTGCTGCAATATGTGCATGTTGCTACTCAGACTGCGTATGATCAAACAATACCATGTAATGCTAAATTACKAATGCCTCTGTTTTGACCCTGAAATGTTTAATTACAAATAATCATTAACAACAAATGATTTAAAACTTCTTTAAAACCTCTATGATATTGCCATGACTTAAAAAAATTGTCAAAATATCTTTCTGTCTAGGGAAGATACGAAAATTAATTCTTAGTTGTTTGCTCCAATGAGCACAACAGAAAAATCCTTGAAGAAGCAGTAAGTCTGTACCAAATCAAATTTAGATTAACACACAGCAATTAAACCATAGACACTCATGCAGAATAATGAAGCTAAAACCAATATAAATTGCTGGTCATTGATTTTGCAATTCTATGTCTGAATTCTATGTCTTCAGTTAAAATAGGCAAGGACCTCACAGAAAAAAAAAATAAAACACTAAGTAGTAATTTAATTCTAATATATATGGGTATGAAGAATGAATCCATAATATCAATGACATTACTTTGAYATAGTATCTTATACATTATCTACTTATTTATCTAAAGAAAAGAGAAACATCGAACAATTGAGTATATGAAAAAATTATGCCAGCTACGGCCAGTACAATGCAGTTCAGCACAAGTCTTCAGACTCGGCACAAACTTCTGTCATCACAGTGGATGCTGGGAAGGATAAGCGCTTGTAAACTGCCACCACAGCAGACTGCTGTTGGTGCTACTTCAATTACACAACTCTTGGTTACTCATGAGTATAAGCTTTAGTATCATGAGAGTTTACAATGCCTTCAAGTACAGTTCCAGAAGAAATCTGAGCCAGTTTGTCTGCCTGCAACATTCACATTTCAGCCAGAACCAAAGGTGAACAGTGAAAAGATTGCTGCATGATTGTGAGTGGTGACAGAACAAACACAATGAAGAATTTTAGCTTCAGTTGAAGACTGCTGAGCTGATGGCAGGGTAATCCCAGGAGGAAGACAGTACAGGGGAGGCTGCCCTGYTTCTACAAGTACAACCCTGCACCTGGACTGAGAGGTCTCTTCACTCTGCAGATTTTGCAGCACTGACTGCGCAACTACTTGATTTTGGTTCTCTTAGCTGGGTCTACCTTATCAGAGATTTTACATTACACAGGGTGCCCAAATCCCTCTTTACCTCAGATAAGAAGGAGCTGATTGTGTAAATACAGTCACCGCAATTCTGCTGCACAAGAATGAAATATGTTTTTCAGGGATGGAATACTGTAAGTGTATATAAGTTTACATAAGTGTATGTAAGTGGTACACTGTAGGAATCTCAGCTTTCTTAGGATTTAGAGAGAAATTTTTTGCATCGGCAGGAACTGTTCTTCTCTAGTTTTTTTTCCTTCCCTCCAATCCCTGACAGATTAACTTCCCATTGTCCCTGTCTTCTTGTGTCTTACTTAAGAATACTTCTTTCTCACCCACTTTCAACTCATTCCATTCCTAGCCCTAGGAAATCTGAGTCTCTGCATACTATGGTCCCTTTTCTAGTGTCTTTCCCCAGATTATGGAATGGTTATACTGCTTTGAAATAAACTTTTCTGAATAAATTCCTAGCCTACTCTTGTTAATATTTTCAAAGCTGTAAGTAACTAAAAATGGGAAGCATTGAGCAACCTTAATAATAAATGGCATTACAAACTTTGCTAACTATAGTTAACTCCTTTGCATGTTAAAATGCCTAGCAAGCTGCTAATTTTAGATAATAAAAATCYTCTAATCTAACAGCACTAAGTCCTCTGTCACAATGTCCCTGCTAGTTGACTATGAGATAAGGATTTGCTAATGCACACAAAAAATTACAACACAGGTAGAAACACGGCAGTGACCCAGAAGCACAGAACAGAGTCAAAAGTCCCTGAAAAGCAGACAAAGCAATCCAATGACAGCCTCATAATTATGACCTGTGTCTAAACATTTTGAGATTAATCAAACTCCTGCAATGAGCTGTTAAAAAAAATTAAACATGTAACACTAGTCTTCAGTTTTTCACATATTGTACTTTGATTCTGCTCCCATTGACACCAACAAAGAAAAATATGTTCCAAAGTCTGGCCCCAGAGTAATGAACTTAAACAGTCTTCTTGGTGAACAAGGTCTAGGCAAACCGCTTTTGTAACTATAAGTTCTGCAAATGTTACTGAAAGATAACATTATTTTTTTTTTAAATCCAAGCAGCAAAGGTGAATACCTTTCACAATGAATCATTGCAAAATTACCAAGCTTTTTTATTTTGAGGGCCTCAGAAAACACGTTAGTGATACTGCCTTATCTTATGATCTGAGGGTTTGTTTGGTTTGGAATGAAAGAAAACTGGAAAAAGCTGAGSTGGATTTTGAACAGCAAATTAGGCAATTGGAAAAACAATGTAAACAGATGGTGTTCAATAACATATGCCTGGAATTGTATTTGGTTCATTCTATCCATCTTGAATCAGTGGTCAAATGAAGACAATGAAAGGGATGTTGGGGTTTTACCACTGACCCCAGTGCAGCCATAATAAAGAAGATGTAAATAACATGCAAAGAAAATRCCATAACAGGTGGGAGAATGACACCAGTTAACCACTTATTTCTAGTATTGCTGCCCTCTATATTTGCTTTCTTCCAGCACCCAGCAATGTAATTTTTCAGCTCAACTTTCAACAGTCAGAAACACTGAATGTGTATCCCTAGAGCAGTCGGTCACATACTATGCTGGAAGGTCTTCTATTAAGTATGCCTTTAGTTCTTCACACAAAAATTCATACTGCAGATTCATTTTTGCCCAACTTCAGTGACACCAGTTTTGCATGCAACAAACGACTGTTAAATACAGTGCAATTTGAARCAATAAATAAAATAAACTGGAAAGTATACTTTGAATTACAGAACTTTTGTGACTTTAATTTGCTGCAGTCAGTACCAAGTACTGCCAYTGCCTACTGCCTCATGAAGTGTCACAGATATTGGCCTTTAGATGAAAAGGAGGAAACAAAAGATTAGTGAAACTGATGAAGTAATAGAGAAGGACAAGCTTAAATTATATCGTGATTAAGTGGTTTTTAAGACTATTTCCAATTTCCAAGACATTTAACACAAAATATGTGGAAAATTACTCCCAAGCCCATAAAATGCACAAAACTTGAGCTGACTACCATTTTAACAATATGACCAACAGAAGCTGTTGCAAAGAACTTACCCGAAACCAATAGCTACCCAGTAATTTCTGACACCCTGATGTGGTCCCACCATAGGAAGAATGTCTGGAGAATAGGTGATGGGACCGGCAATTGTGTTTACGATGTTTGCTTTTCTCAAAATGGGGACCATTTCCATAGCAGCCTCAATATGCTCCATTATTCTGTCTAAATCAGACTCAAAAAGTTCTTTTCCAAAACCTGCACAAATATATGAGTCTTATTATATATACTTACTTACACAGAGAACACATACATTTTAAACACAGTYACAGTATCCATATATATATATATAAGATACATGGGAACAATCAAATCCTGTGTTCAAGCTTTCACCCTCCTACACAGGAAAAATGGYGTGCAAAAATACAGGATCAAGTTTATTTGTCATTGCAATTATACTATCCTTTATACATATTTGTTTAACCCTAAGGTCATGCAAATTCAACAGTGATGTAGAAAGGAAGTAAAGAGACACAGAAACTTTCTTCTACATTAATAAGACTCGCTAATTTTTCTCAATATGTCTATAATTTGAGGAGAAGAAGAAAAATACTTCTCGTATATTCTTATCGTTTCCATGAAATCACACAAATTTMTGAATATATTTCATCCTTCAGTCTGGGCTTTAAGCATGGCTRAACATCATTCTGCAGAGGCACTTGATGCTACTGGAGACAGTAAGTTCAGGAAGCTGTGACGGGGCTATCCAAAACTGAACCATGATAACTGCCTGTCCTAAGGAAACATTCTGTTTTTTGAAAACAGCAACACTGATGACTTAGTATGACTATCTGTCTGAAAGTGAATAAAAAGTTGGAGTCTAAATATAAAACAATAATTTATAACATTTTTTAGTAAGCAGCTGTATGACATASTTAGGATATTTTTGTATTCTATACACATCTACAGCTCTCTTGCACTTACATCCAAGCACAGCATTTTCTCTAAGACATTTTTTTGCTGCTCCAATTTGACAATCACATTATCTCTGRGGCAACAATAAATATCCAGAGCCCCTGTCAGCATGCTGGAGAGAACTGTAACTTAGMAAAATCTCTATGCAGGCAAAAAAGTCTACATAGCACAGATTTGTTGATGGCCTCTTATCACAACACACAAGCATCTTTTCAGAAAAAGGGCTAAGATTACTTTGTAGTAGGCTTTTCTTATGTTATGTTTGTATTTCTATTATATTTTATTATTAGAGTTCTCTTCTTTGAAAAAGGTTTCTGTGTTACAATCATGCATTGAAAACATTTTGTATTTTCCACCACATATGGCAGCATGACAGCCTGGGATTTATACACATTAAAATGTATGCTAGTGCTTATTATGTTTAAAGATTTAGTGTTCTTAATCACCTGGTGGGACTCCATTTGTTACCCATGAGTCCTGCAGCTTCATCTTCTCCTCACTTTCATATGGACCAAATAAAAGACCATCCCTTTCTTGCCTTAGATAATAGGACCCTTCTAAGTCACGAATCACAGGCAATTCTGTTTTTAAGGCTTTCACTTCAGGGACAGTCGATGTCACAACATACTGATGATGAACAGGTATGAGAGGGTGTTGCAGGCCAATCATCTTGCCTATGTCACGGGCCCAGAAGCCTAGAAAAGAAAAAAAGCAAAACCAAAATTGAAATATTCAAACACTAATTTCCGTGAATGGAAAATGACAGTAAAATATTTGCAGTAAACACTGTGCTTTTATATGTGACAGATTTTTATTCCCATACTCCTAATTTTCACTTTATTTTTCATATTATCTAGAATGTTTTTCCCTCCATAATTCCATGTCCTATTTTCCTAATTATACTACCATATATTTTAATAGTATATGCAAATTAAAAAGCATAATTGGTAAATTATAAATAAGGCTTCTAAAAGTTCAGAAGATAATTTAATTAACAATTCCACAAACCCCATGGCTTATTTCAGTAAAGTAGGTCTGCAATGTACTGCCTAGCAAAGTTAGAGACACTTAAAAACTAGAATAAATTAACTCACATCATAAATGTTAACCAAGCCTCTCACTACAAACCGAATGAGCCAGTACTCTTTACCAAGACAGTAATCAAGTCCTAACCCCCCAATAGACTAAAGCAGTACTTTTCAGGCAGCTGACCTCAAGAATTGGAGTTTCTCTCCTCTTTAACATGCATCATATGACTCACATTTATTATGTACCTCACACAGCAATCAATTCATTATAATGTTTGTACTGGTGAATAGTCAAGTGTGCTCTTCCGTATCTATGTGATTAGAAGTTCTGATGCAGACTGTAGCCAAAAAACGCAAGCAACAATTTCCCGGCTTCTGAAGCTGGCTCAAGATCCTTCATGTATACCATTTGWTAGAAGTCAGAGAAGATCTACTTCTCCTCTGTTAAGGTTAAGTTGGTTAGGCACATTCATTTAGTGAGGTACCTATGTCAGAATGAAGAAGTGGAAGCCAGACACGGTTTTGGACTCTGCTGAGAGGCTGGAGCATAACAGATTCAGCAATGAGACCAGGTACAACTCACAGGAATGGCAGCTGCTCTAAGATGCTTTGAATAACCCTCAGCCCCCCTCTCCTAACTTTTAGATCAAGGAGCAGAGCTCTCAGGATTGGGAATGAAGGGGGAAAATCTAACTAAATGAGAGTTTCAGAAGAGTCTAGGAGTGAGGGTTGGAGGAAGWCAAAATGAAAGAGGAAGAAGAGGTAGCAGGGCCTTCCAGCTAAAAGGTTATGTGCCATTGGGCACCCAGAAAAAGAAGGCAGGTCAGTCTGGTAACCAGCTGACTCCAAACTGGTTAAGATAAAATATCTCCAGCAAGATTTTCTACCTAACACAGCTGTCCTTTCTCCTGGGACATACATTTCATGCTGCCCAGCCTAATGTGCAACTTTTCTTTCTTTTTACTTTTATTTGTCTTAACCAAATTTTCCTAACTATCTCTTCCCTTCCATACTCTCCAAGATCTGGTCAAAGTTTCTCAGTGACCCAAGGAAACCAAAAGGCATAAATGATCCTGAAACACTTCATTTGGGACTTCCACCCGTACCTCTGGGCACAGGAGTTTCATTCCAGGTCAGCTCAGGTCCTTCAGAACCTGTCTGAGCTGGTTTGATTGTGTGCCTGATTACACTCTGTCACAACCATGCCTGTGCCTGGCCATGGAACACATTGATCCAGACTCTGATCCGTGGACTACTTCTCAGCTTGACCTCAGCTCAGTCTCAACTCTGCAGTCCTGTGTGCTGATTACTGGGCACCATCTGATCCCGGTTACCGTCACCAGGCCTGTTCCTGACCTGTGGTCACATTGCTGGCTTGGCCTCAGCCTGGCTTAGTCACTATGGATCTGATGGTACCTCACCTCCACAAATCCGTCTGGAGGTCTGGACTGTGGGCTGACCCCAGCTCCAGGTCCTGTGCCTTGCCTGCTCCGTCCCCTGTGCACTGCCGGACAGAGCCCTTGCTGGCTGGGCCAGTCTTGTTACCCTGCTTGGCTCCCTGTCCCATGGGGAGCAGCCGGCTCACGCCACTCGCTGACATTGGGAATACATCCTCTCACCTCCGGCATGGCTTAAAGCCAGGACAATTTGGAAAGCTGAATGGGGCTGTGCTGGCCTTGYGCCATACCCCCATGCCAGGATGGCTCTTATTAAATATTACAAGCCAGCCTCAGKGTCTAACACCCACAGTTTTAAAAAATGCAAAATCTCCAAGGAAAATGTGGTGACTCAATAACAGTACTGACAGCCAGCTAAGGCAAAGCAGCAGAGGATCTTTGAGAGATTTGCTCCATTAAATGCCAGAATCCAGTACCTGTTGCTGTGCAGTTATCATATGTAAGGGTTTTGCTTCTTAATGGCACCTCACCATCTGGAGATGCCAGAACCTTGTAATGTCAGTTAAACTGGTTTTGGGATGATCACGCCACAATCATACAGAGTCAGTGACTCAAAACATCTTTTAAGGCTACTGAAACATGGTTTACATCCTCTTACACAAAAGACAGTGAAAAAAATGGAATAAATCTGCATTTCTAGCACATATTCAAGGATTTCCTTCACTACACATGACACACACAAATATGGTCTTAAGTGGCAGCTAACAATCTTTATAGAGCTTCTTTTGGTTTGGGCATTTCMATGTCACCTACAAATAAAACTATTTTAAGTTAAGGTCATGATTTAAGGTATGGTCATGATCCACAGACRAGAGGGAAAGGTGAAGTAACAGAAAATTAGGTCTTTGAAACTTACCTTTGTTTCTTTTCCAATAATAAAACATTTCTTAATAATCAAATTTGAAGAACAACATTACAAACACAGCTAATTTTAAAATGTTGTTGAATAAGACACAAATAGTTTAGGTTTGTTTAAAATAAAATCTCCAGTACTGTACTTCTAAAAAATGTCACACTTACGATAAGAGTTTATTTAATTGCTTAAAATAACTAAAGGTGACATTTACTACATGAAAAATATTACCATTTCTTTATCGTTTAAGGCCYTTGAACAAAAACAAAAATAGCAATAGGAAGAATATAGTCTCTGAAACAAAATTCTTATTGGAAGCAGATGTCAACTCCTATCATACATAGAGACAAATGGAGGCATATATCATATCTCTACGACATTTGTGAAGACTAAAMTGTAGACACTGCAAACATCTGATGCTGAAATATTTAGTGCTAGCAATACTTAGCATATCTGATGAAGTATATAATCTACTTCTTATTTTTGAAAAAGACARTCTTCTACTACTTCTCATATATAAGTGGCTTTATATATAGCATGTACATGTCTGAAAATACATGCCTACATACACACACCCACACTGTATAAATAAACCGAATTCACTATTTTTGCAGACTTCAATCAAACATTCCATTATAAATAGGYTGCACATAACTTCAGCAGGCTCAGTACAGTTATGTGATGTCAGGGATTATTTATTAGGCATCTGCTTTCCTCTAAAATGGAAATCTCACATAAGGAACAGCTAAAGATTGGTTGAAACTAGTTTGTTCCAGTTCTGCAGCAGATGTCAGTTGCAGAGTGAGGTGGGGAGGGGGAGAGGGAATGTAAAGAGCCTTCTAATGTGTTTTTCTCTGCAGCATGAGCCTAAAATTATACCAGTCATGATCTGTAGTGGAATGAGGCAAGGCTGAGAAAAGAATGAATGTTATCTGCGAAAACATTTATAAGAGATATGTGTTATACAGTATTGATTTTACATCATTAGCCAGAATGTTAAGCAATATGTGCTTCAAATACTCATTTTGGCTGAACAGCTAACTACACAGGGGAATTAAGTAAATATATTGTTGATTTAATAACTTATTAAATAACAAAAAAGACTTATGAAAAGCTCACAAGGGTGCATTCTAATTTTTGCAAATAAACTCTGAAAAGCATTTACCAGAAAACCCTGCCTAATATCAACTTGACATATTATCCAAAGAAAGAAAACTACGCTACAAAAATGCAAGAAAATTACTACGCGTGTGATACTTTATCCATACAATGCAGAGCCAATAGTTAGGAATAATGAGTGACTAGAAGTTTGTGGCCTTATTAAGTATGATTGCCAGGAGAGCTGGCTTCCCATTTCATAATCTTGGATTACTCCCAGACCAATATATCCACACTGTGTAACAAATGACATAAGGATCCTATTTGTAAGAGAGCTTGTGATTTTGTAACTGAATGCTGTTCCATAATTCATGCCTGAAAGCTATGAACTGGCAGTCCAAAGGCAATCAAATATTGACACTTTCCATCTTCCAAGTGTTTGACTTTGTGATTTGCATATAATTATTTTAATTTGGTTTCCCTGTTTGTGTGTTTGACTGCCTTCTAAAAAGCATACGACACTCCTCTAGTCCTCTTTCTCTCCAGAATTCATTATGTGGCACTCATGAACAATCTTAGAGCATCAGATCTTCGTTATTTTAACTAGGCACATAGCAGCAGCAAGTGATCACCTATGTATGAAAGACATATGATAAGAAAGTGCACTTTTCAATGGGTTTTCCAGTAGGTCTTTGCTGAAAGCCTGGAATGATTTAACACAGGGCTGTCCAGACTCTGGAAAGGAAGGTCTATAAAGTGCATCCCCTGAGAGTCCAGCCATTTCATCCCATTCTCTCTAAATTTCTCTTTTTTTCTGCCATCTCAAACTCTACTCTTACTCCCTTCCTTAAATCTTTCTTCAGCTATTTTGCCACATGTGCTAGTTAGTCTCCCTCATTTATAAAGTTCTATCCCAGCAGCCTTCTCTTCCTTCCAATCCACTCCCTTCTAACCCCACTTGCTATTAGATAGTACACCAGCTTAAAGAGTTCAGTTTTCCACTCAGTTTCACACATAACCATTCCTTGAATATCCTTACTACTAATTTTGTCTGAAAAGCTTCTAGCTTCAGTTTCCTTAATTAAAAATATAAGATACCCTTCCATTATCTCCCTGGTGTCAACCCCATTGCTGCTATTCCCTCCTGGTCTGAGCTTTCCTATTCAGCAAGTCCTATAGCACATAACTGTTCCACCTGCTGCCAATGCTCCTAAACACCTCCAGAAATCTTTCCAAGGCATTTTGCTTTCCCAACCTACTCCCCTTCCAGTCCAATTCCCTCATAATTCCAATGGTCAGCTGTGGTATTCTATCCACCAACAAGAAGCGTCTCTGCCTCACATTTAATTTTAGCTGCCTTGCACTAGAAATAGGTGCTTTTATTTTTTTTTTTCCTGTTCCATTGCAAATATACAGAAAGGAATTATAAAGACATATTCTTGCTCTTGGTTCACTTGTCCCATCTAAGTGAGAAAGTCAACTTGAGACATCACAGCCTCTGACTGAAGCCTGATTTTTCACTGTCATGAGAGGTATGCAGGACTAATGCCCTAAAAATGCAGACATGATGCAGTTTGAAGCAGAGTTTGCAAAAATTCAATCTATATGGTAAATATTTGACATGTTTKCAAACAATTGAAAACAGAAAATCTTCTACTAGGAAGCAGAAAGTGTACTTCACCTAAGACATGCCAACAGTTTCACCAATAATGTATTTTTCTATACTTGTATACAGCAGTATAAAAATAAGTGAAGTTTAGATTGAATACTGATTTTTAGACCTATWAACTTGCTTAGGAAAATATACACAAGTCAAAAGGACACTTGCCCAAACACCCTTTGAAGCAGAAACAGCAGTTTCTTTAGCACAATGAAGAATAAAATTCAGATATGTAAATACAAGCCTTTTTGACTTGGGCAATTTTTATGACACACAAAAAATGCAGTGTTAAGCCAAGCACGTGTTAAAATACGGCTTAAAGGACAACAAAAAGTCTTCAGTTTCAAGGATATGTGGATAGACTTAAATCTTAGAGAAAGATAATGATGGTCAAATTCTCAGTCTCTTTGAAGAAACAGCGAAAATATTTCTGCTTAAYTGGTATATTCCGTCTCCCTTCCTAGTTATGTTTCATTAAATTTTAGAGGACTGCATAGGCTGTTTGCCTGCTGGGCACTGGAACAGGCTCCCCAGGGAAGTGGTCACAGCACCAAGCCTGCCACAGTTCAAGAAGTGTTTGGGTAACTCTCTCAGGCCCATTTCACCACAAACCAAGTGAATGTTTAAAAACATATGTTTCTTATAACAGRCTCAATTCAGTACAGGTTCTTTGTGTCAGCTAGTTTGTAAATCTGAAGAGCACTCAAATGCTTATATTAAATCCTACCTGCAGTATTCACAATTCTCTTGGCTTGAATTGTTCCAAGTGGAGTTTCAACTTCCCATGTTCCATCTGATCGGGATTTCAGATTAGTCACTTGGACAGGATAATTTAATTGAGCACCGTATTTTCTGGCTCCTGCAGCCAAGGCCATAGTTAGAGAATAGGGATCAATATGACCATCTCCAGGGTTATACAGGCCAGCTAAAACCTAAGTGGAGGTAAAATTCCACAAACAAAAGAAAATAAAATTTACCAATATTAGCTAGTTTTTAAAAAAACTCTTTCTTAAATATAATAAATGTTAAAAAAATCAAAAACATTTTTCAAAATATATATCAGCCTCTATCRAACTTTACAATAGTCTAAGCAAGTAAAATTGTTCAGCTCTCCCATGCAATCAAAGGTTGCAATACTTTAGTATTAAAAAATTACAGACATAGTAATTAGTTGTATTCTAACATACAGTATGCACTAAAATTCATCTTAGCCTGATTTTAGGCTACAATACATACTTTTTTTTTAATTTAAAAAACAAGAATCCCTTGTACAATTTGTATAGAGAAGAGACTGTACATGTATACATCCGACAGACCAATATTTATTTGCAATAGAAGTTATATTTCATAAAATTGGCTTCTTTACCTTATCCATGTTCAATAAGGGAAATAGCTCTTGCACTTTTTCAGGAGTGATTAGATACTGCTCTGTTGGGTGCCAACCAGCACGAGTCATTTGGTATTTGAATTCATCCACCCTAGTAGGAGTTGAAGCAATTCTGATACTGCCAGGCTGATGAAACCCCACAGGCTAAACCAAAAAGAAATAGCAAATTACTGAAACAAGCTTTACTGATTGCAATATATTTATCTTGCTGTGCYAAGGGAAGTCTAGAAGAATTTTTCCACTAACATCATTGGAAAAGTTACAGGTAAGTTAGAGGCCCTAGAATGAACAGGCTTTAGACATAGACTCCTAGAGAAAATAATTTTTCAAGACATTATCAAATTAACTTTTGAAGTTAATGCATACTATCTTCAACACAGTTGCAAGGAGAATTTGTTCAATGTCATGATACACTAATTTTTAGTAACAACTAATTAATATTTGATATATGCACTCATATACTTTCAAACAGAGAATCAGATATGTCTCAAAAATAAGTATATTATATATACTTTATTTTAAAGTCTRTCATCTGCATAATTTCCTATTGACATGTTGTGGAATGAATTTAACTAAGTGCCCTTATTAACACAATGAAAAACCACTCGCCTTTTTTGTCTTTTTATTAAATTAAACATCCTTACAGAGCTGGACACTGAATGCTTATTTTTCTTCAYCTTTTCTGTGTTACCTCACAGGACAATAATAGGGCTGAATAAGTCTTTTACCGGAACTCACAATGATAATCTGATGTTGCAGCTTATCTAGTTCAGTAGTAGAAAAAAGAAAAAGGCCTTTTATGACAAACATAAAAAGTATCTGTCATATTACACATATATGACAAATATTAAAAAAAATATGAAATTTGTAGACAAGTTCAGTGAGGTTCATTTAATTTCTGAGCTGTCCGAAGTGAGCACAAGTTTAGTAAATGMAATTGAAAGGTTGAGAGATGCCAGATGAAAAAGATGACTCTTGTGTTTCTCTGCATATCCATTCCTTAAGTCACTAAATAAAAACACATCTCTGAAAGGGACTGTAAGAATTGCAGCAATCTTCTCAAGTACAGACAGCATCATAGCGTATGAATTTTTAAGCGTACATATTTAAAGCAAGAATGTTATCACAATCAATCCATTCATTCCAGATTCCTGATGCTATTTTAGCTTCTTTATCAAGTTAAAGTTGCAGACTCTGCTGTCTTGAGATGTTTCATGAGCACCGTTTTCCTAAACTGCGGAGGGATCTGGGAAACCATCTACCACATATAGTGACAAAGCATGCAGAAGAATGTATTTCAATAAAAAGGGGCATACTCCTACTTCACACTCTTATAAGCTACACTTTTTGGTAAGAGTATTAATACAGTTGGTATTGCTCTGAATTAATACTTCAGGGATTACCTGTCCAGTCTCTTCTTCCAGCTTCTCATAGAGTTTGATGCTGTAAGCATGGATTTTCTTCAGGTTTATTCCAGGATGAAAATAAGTCGTTAAACCAGCCTCAAATAAGAAATACAAACAACACAGATTAGAAATGCAGTGTTCTTTCCTTCCTTTCAACTATCATTTGAAAAGGAACTGCCAAGATACTGTAAAGAAAAACAAAACATACACAAAGCCAACTGCTACAAAATTAAAGTCCTTTCTTTACTTATGCCATTTTTGTTTTCTGCACATTTTTGTTTTTCCATCTGTCTTTTCTCATCAAATTTGCCAACCCATGATATAGGTGCAGTTGTTCTCTCCTATAGTTTCCTTTTTTCCCTTARTTATTCAGTTGACTGCTTCAAAACTTTTGAAAGAAACATACAAACTTAATTTCTGATCAACTAAATCAAATTGCTAACTCTAAACCTCCTGTACTACATTCTTTTCCTCTTACAAATGGAGATGGGAAAGAAACCAAACTTTCAGAAAGACGATCTTCACAAGAGTTATTACATTCCTGTGGTGCACGCAGCAGGGTAGTGGAAGATGATAGTCTTCTATTCTCAACAGTTGTCTCATGTGGCAGTGAAACAGCAATCACTGCATCTAATAAGTAGTTTAAGAAATTATTGTATATATTTTGCACATCACTTWACCAGGTTTGACTTTAGAAAGCTGTCAAGTTCTTTCAGATTTATGCCAAGGTAAAATCAAGAAATTAAGCTTCTTCAATACTTAAGGGAACTATTCATCTGCCTACAATAGAGATGGCTGCATCAACCTAGTGACATTCATAGCTGTGGACATTTAGTCCTTAAAAAAATAGAATTAAAGTGTTACTGAAGTTAAGCATGTGTCTTTRTATGTCCTGAACTTGTCAACCCACTAAAACCCTTCTTCCAGTGGGACAACAGAAATGTAAAATTACCATGGGTTTTCAAGGTAACAATACTGATTTAAATATTTTATATGTAGTATATTTTGTGCTAACTAAAACAGAGCTTATTCATAGATTAAAGTTGCTTCCATTATGGGAGCTAGACACTGGAGTTCACCTTTGAGTTCACTGCCATTCTGTGGAAAAAAGAGATCAGGAAATTCATAGGCAAAAAGTGACACACATTGCACAGTTTTGATAGTTTCCTCCTAAGTTTCTCCATATGTATAAACATTAAATATTCTTGATTTTAATGTGTCAACTCTGTTCTGTGCTACATGTTTTGAGGATTTAGCTTTTAAAGCTAGTGGAAYACCTGCAAACATAAGAATAACAAAAGCAAGATTTAGTGGTCTTTATAGAGATATCTTAAATCAGATTACTTTAATTATGCTAGGAAGCTATTAAATGTTACAATTCTCTATAATTATATGAACATATATGGCATGACTTAGGTCACATATCCTCCTTTTTTTTCAGACAATGACCTCTTCCATTCTATTCTATGTTTCTTYGTGCAGTTTCACATCTAAGATAAGATTGCTTTCTTCAGAAAGTTAGCTTCAAATTGTGCCTAGCAAATAGCTTACACACGGATACCATCTCCATCAAAAAAACATAGATCAGATTTGCTGACAGGATACTCAGTATYTTCAGAACAAAAATTTCATTACTTTCTGGCGTTAGTGGTTGTATGTCCTGATGCCAGCCATGGTGTTGAAAGCTGTTCCTACCTTCATTTGCATGAATTCTATCTTTCTGACATCTCAATTTATATACAGTATCATGAAATGCCAAGATAATGGAAAAGAGTATTAAATTACTTTTTTCAGTGTAATATTTTTCAGCTGTATCTATATTCTATTAATAAATATGACTCTAAGTATGTTTGGCACTGTTTATTACCTCAACAATCTGAGTTTAAGAAGTGATCACATAAACCTGAAGGAGGGAGAGTCATCTAGTAAGGGGCCCCTAGAGCACAAAGCAGGGTGYTGGTTTCAGGAAGACTCTGAGCTAAATTAATAGTATGGAAAAAATATTCCTTGTTCTTTTCATCTTTTGGATCATAGCATCACACTGAACACAGCTGAAGACTAGATATTTAATTAAACGTGATTTTTATCTCATTCGATATGTGTGCTTTCACTGAAGAATTTTTAGCTATAACTTGTTTTTTTCTCAAAAAATACATTCTAAGGGCATTTTTCCAGTGTGTACAGAATGATGAAACAGTATTAAAATATTTAAATTTCTTTAGCCATGCACAACAGCCTAAGAATAATTAATTTACTTCTATTTGCAAACTTCGTTATCTCATATTGTTTYCATTGTCTTCTTTTATTTATGTAAACATTCTCTGGTCTGTTTTTCTTCCAAAAGTAGTAATACATCTTCCAGATGCAAAGAAATTCCATTTTAGTGGTCACTATTAGTGTAGTCATTTATAACCAAATGAGCCACAAATCACTTGCAARTTATGTACAAAACCATATTCATCCAAGAGCATTTAATTGCAGGAATTAAATAAATACTTCACTCTTTTGTACTTTTAAGTGAAGARAAGTTTTTAAAATGCATTTGATGCCTTTTGGCTTAAGATAACATATGTTTTTGATTTCAAGAGTGCAGAAGTGAGACAACTGTAATCTGATTTCACTATATAAAAATTAAGATAATAAAATAATAAAATAATTMTAATTAAACAGAAGGATTGAATGAGTCCTCAAGACATCTCTCTCAAATTTCACGTTCAGAGTAGGGTCAGCTACAAGATCAGAACACATTGCTCAAGATTTTTTTCCAGCCTGGCCTTTGAGAAACTTCAAAGRTAGAGGCTGCACTACTCTCCTGTTTAAGTACAGAACTTAGCATTGGGCCTTGGTAAATTCCATTAAATTGTCCTTTCATCCTGCCTAGGTCCCTCAGCATGGCAGCCCTGCCCTTGAGTGCATTGACTCCTCCTCCCAGTATGGAGTAAACTCCAAACTTGGATGACCACATACTTTGTCATCTACTCCAAATTACTGATAAAGATATTAAACAGGACCAGTCCCAGGACACACTCCTGTGACACTCCACTTATTACCAGGCTTTTGGTAGAATATAACCCATTCATCAGTACCCTCTGAGCTCAGCCATCCATAGAGTCTTTTAATTTTCTAGTTGTCCAGCCATGCAGACCATAACATCTTCTGTTGAATACATGGATGGTGTTTAAAGGCTTGCTAGAATCTAGGTAAGTGACACCCACTGATTTCCCCTTGTCTAAGAACTCAGATAGTTCATAATAGACAGCAATCAGTTTTGACCTGGCATGATTTATTCTTGGCAAATTTATGTTGACTATTYCCAGTCACATTTTTATCTTTTGTGGATCTGGGACTCATTTGATCATTTTCCCAAGAATTGAACTATGGCTAACTGCCTTTAGCTYCTCGCCTCTACCCTTTGCCTTTTAAAAGAGTCATTCATGCGYTCTTCGTATCTTTGGCACTGCCACCAATTTCAGCAGTCTTTCAAAGATGGTACATCTGCAGCCTTGCAATAAATCAGCAGCATTCCTGGATACAGCTTAGTCCAAAATATGTGTGAGTTACCCCCATAATCCCTGGTTTGGTCCTCATCCACTGCCAAAGTTGCTCTTCTCCTTGAACCCTGAGGCCTGAGAAACCCTGTCAGARGAAACTGACACAAGAAGGCGCTGAGGCCTTATCAGCCTACACTATGACTGAATTACCTCATTCAGCAAAAGTTCTCATTTTTCAGCATTTCACTAATAATGCAGCAGTAGAAGCATTATTAGATCTTGTTGCCTTTAATTTTCCTAACAAATCTTAAAACTAGATGAGTTTCGGCTTTCCTAACATCCCCTTCACATGTTCAGACAACTTTGGTAAATTGCCCCATTTGCAGCTTTTTCCTGTTTCTATCTCCTGTATACTGTTTTACTCTGGAACTCAGTCATGAACACACTCTATCCCAGCTGGCTTCTCAATGTTATCTATATGTCTTCCTGGATTTCAGAGTGAACAATTCATGTAGCAGAAGGAAATTTTCTCTAGGCTTTAAAATTTTTCTAACAGAATCTTTTATTTTAGGGAAACATGRTCTGGAAAAAATAATTTTGAGAATGGCCACTTTGTTATGAGAATTTACTCAAATATTTTAAAGCATTTTTCTAGTTGAAATTTTTAAATGTTGAAATGATTATGCATCACTTTTTTTCTATTTCAATCAGCTTTAGATTTTATACTAAGGCTATTATTAARTTAGCTTTCTGGAGGAAACTGTTATTAACACTGCTGTATACTAAATTCTGCCTTCTTGTGAGGTTGACCAAATTATAAAAAGTTATTATTTTCCTTGTGTTGTGCTTTACTGTCAGCAGCAAAATAAATTGTATTTACAAGGAAAAGTATAATATAACATATAATAACTTGCTCTGTTATACCTTTTCATAACTGGTAATATAAAAGTGTGCATACTTGGGCTGTTTTAATAGCACACATGAAAGTCAGCCAAATGTATCTCAGACCTGAGAAGTGAAAGAAAGTTTTCGCAGCAACAACAGCAAGAGTATGATCTATCTGAAACATGATCCTGAGCCCTGGCAGGATTTCTTGGACCGTGAAAGGGGTAAAGCGTGGTATAGTGCAGCAACATCTGAATCAGACTTCCAATATTTGTGGCTGCAGGCAATGTGCTACATGCCATTTCATGTGCTAAGAATACGCTGAATTGTCMTCTGTATCTACTACTGTATCACTGTGAGTAAAACACTGATAAATACACACGATCTGGTGTAGCAAGGAACTCAACAGTMACAGTTTTCAACTTCTAATCATCTGAAACAGAGTTATCATCTGCTTTTTCATCTTCATACAAAGCCCTCTGACACTGTGTTCAATGAAAAGAGACAGTACGCCATGTAGCTGCCCATTCTAACATGGCCCACGACTAGGTGTCTTGCTGTGTTRATTGCACCAAATTCTGTTCTAACAAGTGTCACAAGGCAGGTCTCTCAATTGTGGTAGGGCAGGCATTTTCTCTGCTGAGCTCCAGGTCTCTCGTCACCTTTGAAAGTGAGCCTCACTAAGCTGCACTCACTAAGAAGTGTACCCAAAAGTACTGAAGGAAGGGCTGCTTTAGCACTTTTATGAGCAGCAAGTTATGGTAAAGGCACTGAAAACAAGAACAAAGGAAACATTCAGTAACAACTTTCCATTCATGATTCTGGTTCCTTATTCAACTAGGAGATTGTTTTTTAAAAACGTATTGTTTAGTATATGTATTGGCAAACAGAATTCAGTCTGTGCCTTACTCCTGTACTTAAGTCAGAGTACTCTTTAAACATTCTGATTCAATACACAAGACAGATGATCTGACACTGCACGGTGTCTTGCTCTATTTGCCAAACTGTTGTATGAAAGTCTAAAAGATACACAACTACAGAATATTGTTTCTTTTTACTACATACAGTGTTTTCTTTTGCTTCGTTTGTTGAAAAGCACGTAAAATGAAGGATGCTCTTTWTACACTGCAGGCAGTGATTTTTTTAAATTTCATTTTTTTACTATTGTTCTCTCTAAAAGCCCCAAACACAGAAAACATCTGCACTAAGATGAAGTCCTTCAGACTTCAGACATCCTCCTCTGGGAGAACTATGACAGTACAAATAAAATATAATACATCTGAGTCATCCTCCTTAATTTGTCCCTGAAAGGTAAAGTATTGCATAAATACTCTATTGTATTAACAGAGTAGGTCTAGAGATATCAAACCATTGGGTTTCTGCTCTTTTGTGTTGCTACATACAGGGATACCAATCTCCCAATTTCAGTTAAGAATAGCTGGAAATGAATGGAAAAAAGCATCTATTATTGTATTATTGTGGCAAGCTTTATTTAATTTTGTTACATTATCTGCTCCAGATACAGATTCAGAAAACATGTAATTTCATAAATGCATTCTGTGCACCAGTATGACCATGTAATTAATGTTATTATAGGAGGCGTTCATACCCCGACATTATTACATTTATATATTTTTAGTTATTTTTCATAGAATGCAGACAAACATTCAGGCTTAAAAAACTCACAGTGTACATTTGCTACCTTTGCACCCCCAAGATTTTATGTCATGTCAGTGATGGCAGAAAAGAAAGGGAATAAAAAGTTAATGAAACTTCCACCACCATTATACACACAAACTACTGTTAACCTGAGAGATGAACAGAACAGTTCTTACTGCATGCCAGGTAGATCCTGCAGTGAGCTCAGATTTTTCTAGCAGAACAACGTCCTTCAAGCCAGCTTTAGCCAAGTGATAGGCTAGACTCACACCAACACAACCACCTCCAATAATCACTGTGTCTGCTCTGTCTTTCCCTAAGGAAGGAGACGAGGTTTCTTTCCTGACAAAAAAACAAAACAAAACAAAACAAAAACAAACAAACAAACAAACAAACAAAAAACAAAAAACAAAACACCACAGTTACAAAAAGGCAATTGCACTTTTCCCCATCTTTTTTGTATATTGTTTCAACCATAAAACAAGTGGGTTTCTGCTTGGGAGTCTACACACCTGGCTTAATGCTTAACCTGTTTACTAATATCCTCTTTTACTGTAAATGCTCTTTAAAGGTCATATAGGTAAACCGTATTAATTAAAAAAGATCCAAACAAATTTGCTTCCACTTATAACTTCAAATACCATTTATCCAATATACTTTTATATGTAGACCCCATTTTTCAAAAAGAAGCTGACACCCAAAATGTGTCAAAACCTGACTTTTCGAAAGTGCTGTACTATGTGCAACAAAAAGTCCTTAAAAATCTACTCAGTAAGGCTCCTTAATGAGTTTCTAAAACCACTATCAGTAGACTACATCAGTGCACACATTCATGAAGCATGAAGCATGAAGCTTTTAACCAATGTTTGTCTATTTTAACATGTTCACAGATTGACAGAATATTCTGAGTTGGAAGGTACCCACATTATCAAGTGCAACTTTTAACTGCATGGCCCATGCAGAGATCGRATTCACAACCTCARTGTTATTTGCACTGTGCTCTAAACAACTGAGCCAATCCCCGAGTCAAATGTCCTACTTTGCTTATGACAAAACACTATAGAAAAAAGTTTTTGTCAATGGCTCATACCTACTACTCTATCACACTGTACTTTAACTACTTTAGGCCATTATAAACCAGAACTGCTGCCATAGGCAGCTCTATTCTTCTGCAAGTCCACTGCTCCTCCTTTCTACTGCCTCACCCAGACAGCCAAACAGCAGGCTTTGTGTGGAAATTTATCGCAAATTTTTTAAAAGTAATTTTTTTGTATGTGAGACAAGGTAGGATATATTATTACAGTAGCAGTACAGACGACCACWGTGAAACCACAGTATCTTCTCCTTCAGGACAGTTAATCAATACTCAATCTTATCTCTCCTCTCCTCGTACATTTTCAACTTCTCTGGCAACAGACTTTCTAATGTATAACTAGACTTCTGCATCTCCCACTCAGAAATAAAACCTGCTAGCTTTATGTCTTATGAATGGAGTTCGTACAACATTTTAAATKCAATTGCAGAAGGAATATGCACCATGCTTATTCATTAGGTGGTGATAGATGAGAAGTAAAATATGTGGGAACACAGGACACCACAGGTTTCCTGTATTTGGTGCACCACACACTTGCACGTTCTTTTTTCTGATTACATATTAATTTTGGCAAGTTAACAGTAAGCTGTTTAACAGCCAGATGTGCGACACTTACATCAGCTCCTCTACCGAATTTTGAGGCATTAGTAATCAAGGTCATAAAAACTTTTCTCATTCTTCTTTAATGCTGATATTTGCTCACCCGACTTTCAGGTTTTTTCRAACCTTTGCCCAGGAGCCTGGCAAGGATCCAGGGGATACCTTCCTAGTGAACTGCACAGTTCACACAGATGTTTGATCGTGCCAGTTCAAACCGGTCATTATTTGCTCAAGGTATGGCCCAGAAAACAACAGAAGGGCCTCTGTACACCAGGTCAGCGACGCCCCCCGGTCTTGGTTCTGGGTTTGGCGCAGCAATACGAAACCCGGAGTGAGGCACCTCCTGGTCACAGGTGTTCCGGCCGACCCATGGTGAAACGCCGCAGGTCGGTAACCCGAGCTGGCTCCCCTCACCGCCGCCTTTCTGCGCATCCCTGACAGCGGCAGCACCGGTGCTGCGCGGACGGCAGCGACAGCGACAGCCCCTCTGCCCGCGCCCCCCGCCCGGCCCGGCCCGGCCCGGCCCGCACTCACCGCCCCTGGGCACTGAGGGGCCGCAGGGCCGCCGCGCCGAGGGGCCCGGGCCGGCGGGGGGGCCGCAGCCGCCGCAGCGCTCCCTGCAGCACCGCACTCATCCCGCACACGCAGTAGGGATGGAGAGCGCTGGCTCCGCGCCGCTCTACCCGCGTCCCGTCCCGTCCCGTCCCGTCCCTGTCCCGCCGAGCCCGGCCCTCCCGGAGGAGGGCGCCGGACCGCCCCTTGGCGCAGGAGGCAGCCTTGGGGCGGGGGGTGGGCACCGGGCACCTCTGGAGGGCGAGCCGGCTGGGGGCGGCGGGATGGCACCGGACAGAGCCGGCCGAGCCAGGGCGCCCCGCGGGGTCAGGGGCCGGGCCGGGCCGGGTGCCGCCCGAAGCGTCCCGCCTCCTCCTCGGGCTATAAACCTGCGGCCGGACAGCACGCCGCTCCGAGCTTCGCGCCGAGCCGTCGGGGAATAGCCGTCGGGGAATAGTCGGGCAGCCACCGTCCCTGGGCGAGGAAGATGCTGCCGATCAGGAAGACCGCGAAACAGGGCAAAAGGGTAAATCTCCCGTCTCCCTCCCTCGCGCAGCCCCGGCTGCTGCTCCCCGTGGGCACGGGAGCGGTGGCCCCATCGCGGTCCCCCTCGCTGCCCGCCGGGCGGAGGCTGCCTGGGCGGGACAGGGCAGTGCGGRGCAGCAGAGCCCGCGCCGGGAGCCTGACAAAGGGCAGAGCTCTCTGCCACCTCTCCCGCCTCCGCCGGGTCCTGCTGCTGTTTGTTTGACTGGCACGACCCGCGACCCGCGCCGGTTAACCTCCCACTGAGGTACTCGGTATGTCTGCAGGTAAGGTGATCTCGTGAAAACCTAAAATAAAACCGTGATAATAATTGCACTTGTTCAGCATCGAGCCGCTAAAGACATTTAGACTCATTAGGAGACAGATAAATTGGATCGATCTTAACGCAGTCACAGCCCAGAGAATCTTTGTTTCTCTGATCACACAGAGTGGAGCCGCCAGAGTACAAAACCATGTATCTTAATGTTATCTGATRCACAAATTAAGCAGGACTTGAAACACACTAAAAATTAAAATCATAAATTTTTTAAAGATAAACTGTCATTGGATGTCATTCTGTCTATAGCACTCCTGCCTGCTCTATTTAATAGTTCCAGATTGCTCACCCCTTTATTAATATGGCTGGTTATCAACGGTGTTTGTAACATTAACCCAGACTCCTATATGCCCCCATTGCTCCCCCATTTAGCTAAAGAAATAAGCCAGTATAAAAAGCTATCCACACATCAGCCGTTTACGCCATCAAGGCAAGGCTATGAGTGAAATCTTAAGTCAAACTCTCTGACATATATCAGAACTGGTAACCTTGTTCTGCTGCTTGAGAAGGTCAGCAGAATCATGCATTCCATCTTGTTCAGAAGGGTACTATTGCCAATAATAGGGCACATCTTGCTCAGAACAGGTTTTAYTCATTTTTGTGTGTAGTGTTTTAAGTCTAGAGCAAAAGAGCAGAAAGATATGGGAAGAAATCTATGAGTTCTAGGTCTTTCAGGTAGATAGTTATAAAGGAAGAAGGTGAGGAGTATTTGTAATGCTTTTTATATTTTGGCATATACCACCTAATTTTAACAGCAGAAGAAAACTGTTCTAAATTCCCCCTACAAGCAATGGACTTCTTTTGAGGACTTGAGAGCTGAATAGTTGTTTTGAGATTTGTTTTCTCTCCACTAATAAAAAGGTAGATTATAGGTAGACCRAGCAGCTTTTCTCTTGTACACTACAGTTAGACTCCTAAAGATGGTAGAATATCTTCACAGAGACATTTGCACTCATGCTTTCCATAGATAGGTGTATGGACCATGTGATGCMACTTCACTCACAGTAGGAAAAGTCAAGCAGTAAAAAGAAGGCTTAAAAAAGATTGGAGAACTTTTTACACGTACTGTGTCTTATAATTTGATCCCAGATTTGTCTCCTACCAGATTGCCTGACAGTACAATTTTGATCTGGATTAAACATGAGCACATAGCTGTAGGTATCTGAACAAAGTAAGTTTGATGCTGAACTTCGCTTAGCTATATGCTCATTAAATCAGTGGTATTGAAATACCAGTATATGAAGTAAAAATGGTGTGAAGAGAAGATAYCAGACCTATAATAAAGTTTAAAAAATATTATTTCTATTTGAACCCAGTATGAACTAACAAACAAAGGTTTTATTTTGTGCTTTATATTTATCTCTTCTGCTATCCGATACCCCAAAGCTAGGTATAATATATCACAATACATTAAGGTGCCATGCTGTATTCAAGCGTGGCTTATGTTGCTTCTGTATGTCTAAACTTAAGATTATACTAAAATGCACTTAAAAAAACCCCTAGAACTGTGAAGAAAACTGCTGTTAAATCCTAGAAGTGACCTGGTAAGAGAAAAAAAAGTTGCAGTTCATTTAAATACATACATAATAATAAATGTAATATCTATATATACAATGTCAACTTGTGTCTATTRCTTACTTTTCAGTTAACAGGCAACAACTGAGGCTGTCTGTATGTAAAATATTTTTTTTTATTCCTCTGCGTAATAAATTCTGAAGCAGGCTTCATCTACAGAAGATTCTTTGGCAKGAAGAGGAAGCAGGGACTCAACCAGTGAGCTTTCCTCTGGGCCCATTTGAGGCATTCTGTTACAAATGACAGTTAATTCATTGCAAACACAATCTTTACAAAACCTCTTGACTTTTGCACTAAAATTGTTTTTCCCTGGTTCAGTGGAAACAAATATAAAAACTTCTGTATTTCATTAAAATTTTGACGTTAATCAGGTCAGTATTCTGGCATGTCCACAGCACACAATGGAATCTGATGCAGAGATTTGCAAGCCAACACTTGTCGAAGTTCTGCACAGCAGYGCTGCACAGAGAAGTCCTGCCACCTTGTTGCAATGTCAGTCCCTCAACCAAAGTAGGTGATGCTCTCCAAGGAGCCTTACATTGCTGTGCTTGGTACTGAAACTGGCACAGCTGGCACAGTGCTCCTTACTGTTGGAAAGGCATACTCTCATTCTGCCTAAAGGGCAGTGTGAGATGTCAGAAGTGTTAGTCTTTGCTGGATATCTGGCATGACATAATTGTATTAATGAAAAGAAAATTATCAGGAAAGATAATTACTGTAGTTTGAAGGGCAATTGTTAAAAAAACCTTCCACTGAGCGTGAAAATCACATGCAACTCTTTGTCCATAAAGCTTTTCTTTTTCCCATTCCCCCAAACATCTTCTGTTGAAATACCAGTGCCATCAAGAAAACTGTGGYTGGAAATACCTTTGATTAATTCTTATCCTGAGCACACTAATGCAGTCTTCATTCAACCACTTTTGAATATAGAGTTCTGGTTGCTATCCAATAGTAGAAATCAATCCTAATCTAATAGCAAGGTGTTTTTCAATTATTTTTTTTAAATTGCCACGTTCCTTGTGTTAGTGTGGAGTTCAAGACAAAAGCAAGGTTAATCACAGGGYGCTGGAAGATTTCTGACTTGGCACTCCAAAACATTTCAGGGCTGTGCAAGACAAAGAAGACTTTCTTTCACTTTGTAAATCTTGGTAAGCAAACCCAGGCCCTTCCAAGAAGGAAAAGACTGCCAGAAACTGCAAGTCTGCTTTCTGAGATGCGTCTTGTTTGGTAGAAACTGTTGCATGCTTGCTTTTCTGTGATGCCTGTTGCGCCATCTGGTGTCACAAATCACATGTGGTAAGCTCTGTCAAGGTGGCAATTGGAAACTAAGGAACAGGGGAGCTAATAAAGAGATCAGTGGTACTAATGTTTCATTCTAAGAAGTTTCTKGTGTTTTGCAGGAGAATTTGAGGTGGTATATTAGTTTTCTAGGAACGGAATTGTACCATTGACTTGCAGTTCTGGGCATAATATCTCTGCAATACAATATATATATAATGAGAAGTCTTACATATAGTATGTGTGCACATATATTAAAGCCTTATGCTGAAAAAGAGCACATCTACCATTCTTTAAGTAGAATTCCAAGAAGGAAATTTATTACTTTCTTTTATGGCAAAAGTATTTCTGGTAGCTCTGCCTTGCAAATACAGAAACAAAGCCCAAGGAAGCCCACCAAATTGAAGAGCTGTAATTGTTAACCTGCCCTYCTCTTTTTCCAGGGTATTCTAGAGCGCTTGGATGCTGGAGAAATTGTGATTGGAGATGGAGGTTTTGTCTTTGCTCTTGAAAAGAGGGGATACGTAAAAGCTGGGCCTTGGACTCCTGAAGCAACTGTAGAATACCCAGAAGCAGGTGAGTTTTACTGAGAAATTATATTCCTGCAGTGAATGTAAACATGGATGACTAAATAATAAATATATGGGAATACTTATTTATATTATGAAAAGTAAATATACCTACTTGTAGTAGGTTTTTAAATACAAGTTTTCCTTGACACTGTAGAATTGCATAAAGAACAGCCTGAAACTGTTCATCTTAGCACTGTTACTTGCTCTAACACTGGCCAAAAGAAGCTCGCTGACTAACAATRTGGATAGTGCTAACATCTAGTGATACCTCTTCAGAATGCTTTCCCAATCTTCAATAATTTGCATCCCAGGGACTTTTTGATGCAGATGTAATTATATATGTATTTAATAACATTGAGTTGTTTCCCACTCATGGATTTGTCCAGTCTGTCCTCGAGCTGATCATTTAAAGCTTGTCATTTAAACCATCTCGTAAAAAAAGAATTCTGCAATTAAATATCTATTTTGTTTAGTTCTAGTAATTCATTTGCGTTAATAAATGAAAATAGATTTTTAATTAATTCTTTCTGAGAAATGGCAGTTTTAATAAAGATTGTAATGGGAATATTTAATGTTTCTGGCTCCACTGTAAAATGGGGAATGATAAACTTGATGAAAGCCTAAAAATTGCAGTGAACATTTAATGGAGTAACTCTCTTAGGGTGGATGGAGAAAAAATGACCAACCATTCTATGCCTTCCAGTGTAAAGATTATAGGCTTTAGCATAAATAGTGCAGAAGCAGATGGTATTATCTATTTATGTATGCTTCCTTACAAGAAAGCATTTGCTCTAGTAATATGATGTGCAGTTAAGCCCACAWGCCAATTCAGAATACCCAGAGGGAGAAAGTTTCTTTGTTCTAAGTATTTGCCATTCCAAATTAGTCTTTTTCTTCTATACAGGAGAAGAAGGAAGAAGTGAGGAATGAGAGATATCTTAGTTCTCTCTGTTACATCACTTTGAACACTTTACCTCTTTATTCAACCTAGTCCTTTTTCAGACTTCAAATTTCACTTATGTGTAACTTGCCTAATTTAGGGTTATGGGCAGTTTTATGTAATGCAGAGCTCCAGCAAAGGTTTAAGGACTGATGACCTAATTTGCTGACTCTTATCTCCCATWGAGACATTCCATCATCTCTCTATTTTTCTCCATGTCAGCATTTGTCTGCYCCTGCATGTTCCATCTCAAAACTCATAGCACTTGTCCCGTGGTCTTTATTTCCCTTTTTCTGGTTATTTTTGTGCCTCAAAAGCCCTCTACTCTCAGCACATGTCTCTTATAGCCTAYTTATAAATACACCCTTCAGGGCAAATGTTTTCATTTCTTTTTGTGCAGTGGGGCTGCTTCCCCTCCATTACCACTTTTTACTCCTGCTTGCTAAAGGATCATGTTACTTTGAAAGATATGAAAGAACACAAGGAGCAGCWGGCTTAGCCAGTGGGTGTAAAACCATAGAACTACCAGAGCTTCATGTCTTTATAAGGAAAGGAAGAGTAAGGAAGTTCTGAGAAGGCAGCAAGGAATGAAAGAAAAAAAAAGAAGTGAGTTCAGGGCCATTAACTATATTACAAAACAGAACATTTGCCAGACTGATAATTCTAGGAATTAGGAAATGTAAAGTCTTCTTCTGAGACAGAGCAGGTATTACTCTGTAGTGAGCCATATGCATGGGTGCCTATTGCCCCTGTCTCCTCCTATCTTATGGGTGTGTCTTTTATGAAATGTCTAACTCATGGTGGATTGAAATGAAAAATCAGTGTTACACACCTGAGTCCTAAAATGCATCCTTATGAAAAATGGTTAACCTCTTATGTGACCATTATCCTAATTTCTTAAATGCTGAAGGAAAACACAGTTTCACTAACATGCTGGAAATCACAAAAGTAAATGACAGAGTGGTTTGGGTTTCTGATAGTGCATGGTGCTGTGGGTTTGATAATAWCAACAATGTACTCTACTGGTAAAACCTATTTGCATGAGGTTGAATGAGATTCAGGMTGATACTTACAACACTGCTGTTTCCCTCAAAGTGTAACCCATTCAACAGTCTCCTATTTTTATACCTAGTATTTTGGGGTGTGAAGTTCCTTAATCATTCATGTTCGATTATGTTTCATTTGCCTACTTATGTCACCATCCTTATTTACACAAATCCCAGGCATTCTTCTAGGAATGGTCGACTATCAAAATGTCATAGAACATTTGTAAAAATGTTTGTAGACTTTTATTATTTTGCTTATTTCCTCATGAGGAATCAAYGCTTCCTCATTCAGGAGTATAAAAAAATCACAGAACACTTGGAAAAACATACAGAGACTGCCCATTTATTTATGACCAGTAGCCTACTGTTATGACATAGGAAAAAGAATACTCCCCACATTACAAATTTTTGTCTCTTCACGAAGATGTAGGAATGAAATTTGATCTCAGGAATTCAGGCAGATTCCAGGAACGTTTTGAGCTCTAGCTCTGCTRTAACCTATGTTTCCTGAAAAGATTTTTGTGAAAAGTAGCTGTGAAAAGAAGCACTGTGTTAAATCACAGTGTAGTTAACCAAGGCTGCAATTAGAAATTAAAYACTGTACCAGTAGAGAAAAGCAAGGGACATTACACTGATTATTCATTGAAAGCAGACATGCTTGCATGTATGCAGGTTGATTCTAGCAACACAAAATGCTGTTTGAACTTCTAGAAAGCTATGTTTGTTTCAACAGAAGGTAATTTTATTCTCATGAAAAACTTGCTTGTTTTCTTAGTGACATAAACTGTGCCTGTAGACAATGAGTTGAGATAAACTAGGACTTCAGGAAAACTTTTCTAAATGTCTGCCACAGAAACTGCAGTGGCCTTGTACTAAGTATCCTGTGTGCTGTATGTAGGGAATAAATTATTCCTGTATTTGCTATAAGCTGTTAAGCATTTAACTCTATTTTACATCATCTGCAGGGTTCTACAGATTATTGTAATTGTTATTCTGAGTGTGTATATACATATGTAAAATCAATTGATAGTTCCTATTCTGTTCCTGCTGTGGTGATTGCAGTGTACTGCTTACAGTACAGAAAGGCACAGCTACCATTACAGAGCCTTTTTCCAAAGCTATAATATAGAAAATTTGCCTACTGAAATAATGGCAACCTTTCCTTTAAAAGGAGTGTTGTCTATGTAGCAAAATCATCGTGTGCAGACATATGGGAAGAATTAACTCTGCATYGTGAGTCATTTGCTAGAGCAACAAATCATCTTTTAATTAAGGGTGTATTTAGCAAAGCAGATCTTTGGTTTTGGCTGATTAGACGCTGTTAGAGTTTTATTGGGGGAAGAAAACTAAAAAAATGCAAAATAGAGGAGGTAATGAAACATTGTATTCTTCCATATAAATATCATCTTGTCCCTTGAATTTTTGCGATGATACTGTCTTCTGTTTTCTTCTTCAAGAAGAAAGGAAGGTTCTTCTTCCTTCAAGAGAAGGAAACTTTTTAATTTGAAGAACCGTTTTTTCTGGTATTCCTTGTTATGCTTTCATGTTCTTTTGTCAGATGTCTGCTATCCCTTCCTAAATCACTATGCAGCTCTAAATCTGGGAGGTCTGAAGGACTGCAGAAAATAGAAGATAGGGAAGGTGGCAGGCAAAACCGAATCTGCAGATAAACTAAATGGAAATCTTCAGTCATTCTTAGCAGGGAAGAACTGAGGAGAAAGTTTTCTACCTAATGTTTTGAGAGGGAGAAGAAAGAAATTCTATGCAGGCTGGGATACAGCTTCTAATTTATTATAGTGGCTCTTCTTGTAAACACAATGTCACTTATTTTACAGTATGATTATATCTATAAGCATTGGATTTGGGGATAACCCAGTCATAACTTCGTCTTTTAATTTGCAGTTCGTCAGCTTCACCGGGAATTCCTCAGAGCTGGATCCAATGTTCTGCAGACCTTCACCTTTTATGCCAGTGAGGACAAGCTAGAGAACAGGGGCAATTATGTAGCTGAGAAATTAAGTGTGAGTAAAACAGTTTTGATGGAGAAAGGAAATAAGTTCACTAATTTCAAAAGRTTTGGGAAAGAGATTTTTGAGTTTGTCATAACAGTTGTGGCTATATTTGAGGACCAGAGAATGAGATGATGCAATGTTGGAGTAATTGTAGAATGCTGGGTGTAGGATGCTGGGTGTGTTTTACTAGATGCAGGCCTGAGGTCCAGTGGAATTTCTGGCCAGGCATTTCTATTTAGTTCCTCTGAGACTAGAAGCTTTGGCATGGAGTGGTTTCTCTGATGCTTTTCCTTTGGTCCTATTGTACACTTCATCTTCTTCAAATCAGAGAATATTCTCTGTGGCTCAGGGAGGAAGGAATATCTGTGTCTGTGAAGATACCCTCAATCAGAAATTAGAACAATCTGGACACTAGGGAAACACTTGAGGCCTAATTCATATGTCCAAATTTATTTGAAATGCTGTACCTTTATGTTAAATAGATGCAACATTGAAATGCCTGAAGTGGTAGTCGCAGAAGCACAGTATCTCTGGAACAAGTTGTGCTTCAATTCYATGCAAAATTATAAAGTCGGGAGATCACCTGGTGTTGGGAATGCATTGCATCAAAATTGACTTCCTGCTTGTTCAGAATCAGGTTCAGAATCAGGTTACTCCAGTATTTAGATCACTTATGGTTCCACCTCTCAGAGTCCCCAAACAGGTACCCAAGCACAAGTACAAATGGAAGACAATATGTCAGCAACAACCTTAAAAATCAGCTGGGTCTTTTGAGGCAGCCATGTAAACCTTCAGCTGAGAGAAAAMTGTGTAGATTCTAAATAGTCCATGGACTGCAGAGAAACCTGCTATAATTAGTTATCTACCCCAAATAATGATTCTTCTCCCCAAATCCTTTTTTCCCCAGTTTAACCTCTATTTCAAAAGCTGTTCTGGTCCTCCCAATTTAGATATAGGGGGAATCTGACTTTCAGTCTAGGTAATTAATTAATAATATTTTTTCCTTTATTTAAGTTGGTAACTTTAACATCACATAATTATTGATATGATATCCATATTTAAATGTCTTAAATAATGTTATATGAATGTTACTTCTGGTTTTTTTTTAATAATTAGAACACTAAAATACATTTCAAAAAATAAGTTGAAATTCCCATATGTTTTGTTTTCCATCCACAGATTTCAGAGTAAAAGCATATGCTTAGATGTAACTAAAATTTTCTAAGAGGCAAAGAAAATTCCACTTCATACCAAATACTTGCTTTTTACAGGCTATTAGTGTAAGATYTATTAAAGGGAATGTATTTTTGTAATATTTGATAATATGATAACTTAGAGGAGGCAAGAAGTTAGTTTCTTAATGTTTGTTACTGTTTGAATCAATATGACTTAAAAATCCACTTCTTTTTTTTTTAATGTGGAATATCCATTATTACTTTCAACTATTTTTAGCCTTCTAGTGCTCTGAAATCATATGCATATCTCTGATCTGGTAAAACTTACAGAATCTCTATTCACACAGTGCCAGAAAGTGAATGAAGCTGCTTGTGACATTGCAAGAGAAGTGGCTAATGAAGGTGATGCTTTAGTGGCTGGAGGAGTCAGTCAAACACCATCCTACTTAAGCTGCAAGGATAAAACAGAGGTTAAAGCAGTCTTTCGAAAGCAACTGGAAGTCTTTATGAAGAAGAATGTGGACTTCCTAATTGCAGAGGTAAATCTGTAAAAAAGGTATACGCCTTCAACTGTCACAGTGTTAACATTTAAAATGGCCTAGTGTATCCCTAGAATACCTAGTGCTACCTCATTTAAAATTTTCTACTGCACTTTCATCCCAGTAGTATCAGATATTTTTCTAAATGCATACCAACTTCTGCAGGTGTTCTAGAATAGGAACATTGAAACCTAAGTTTCTACCTCAGTCAAGTAAAATTCTGTACTGATACAAAGAGGAAATGTTCATGGGATCTTGACTAATCCCTAATTTCTTCACATACGTGAAAAGCAACCTAAGACGATTTTCTTGGTTGACAATAGTTCTTGGCTTAATCCTCAACTAACCTCCATATGGGCATTCTTACTCTGAAACAAAAGTACCACTATTTTTAATTTATTTTTAATATATTTTAAAAATCCCCTTTTTTACTGTGCRGCCAGTAAACTCAATTGAATTGTTAGTATGAATCTGAAAAGAACCAAATCATTGTATTGATGGTGAATTTGGTATCTGCATGYATGTGTTTATATTTCATTACTGAGAAACAAAAGTAGCCTAGTTTTAATTTCTTTCAGTATTTTGAACATGTTGAAGAGGCTGTCTGGGCAGTCGAAGTGCTGAAAGAATCTGGAAAACCAGTGGCAGCTACAATGTGCATTGGTCCAGAAGGAGACATGCATGGAGTATCCCCTGGACAATGTGCTGTCCAGCTGGTAAAAGCTGGTAAGRATTTGTTTTAATGCGCCCTTCAAAAGTATGAAACAAAGCAAAGTCCTTAATATTGAAATAAATAGATAAGTATCTCAAGTAGGTAGCTTCCCAGTTATATCAGTTTTGACTCTGTAGAAAAATTTTCATATGTACTTTACTAGAACAGTCTTGTAAAAACATAGGGAAATACAGCTATGAAGTCCTTTATACCAGTATGCAATGGCTGAGAGCAACAGCCACAGACAACTGATACTGAATACAGCAAAATCCCAAGCCTACTSAAATTTCATTACAGACACATCCCCAAATACTAGAATGACAAGCACAAAGTCACCTTTGTTTCTCTTCTTATGTTTTTGAAGTGTTGTTTTGCACACAGTTCAAGCCCAGGATGWGAGAATTAAGAGGATGAAAAAATTAATAATTTTGCCTATCAAAGGCTGTTTTTTATATTATCCGGACAAGGAGAAGGGTGGAAGAAATTAAACAGGCATGATGAGTGAAGATACATGGGTTTACATACTATTCTATTTCTTTTCCTTTTGAGTTACAATTGAAATCCAAAGGTAGAACTTATGTTAGGAACCTGCTAGCTATTTGCATGTGTGGCACTACATAATAGGACTTCACTGATTAAGCACTGGTGAGAAAAAAACATCAGTAGGAGGGTGGGAGATCTGATTCATCACTAGGAAGGTAAAGAGGAGTGCAGCTGAGGTGTAAGGGGAATGATCAGCATCAGGAGAGTTGTGCCTGGCCCTAGCACATCTGCCTTGTTTTCATAACACTGATAATAAAGAGGACTGCACTGGTTCTCGAGTGCCATGGCTGAGAACTTTCATCTCCCACTACTTGTGGAGTTGTGACTTGAAGTTACTTTCCTCCTCCTAGGTGCTTCTATAATTGGAGTCAACTGCCATTTTGATCCAGAAACTTCCCTTGAAACTGTGAGGCTGATGAAAGAGGGCTTGCAGGCTGCTAAACTGAAAGCCCACCTGATGTCCCAGCCGCTTGCTTTCCATACTCCTGACTGTGGAAAGCAGGGGTTCATCGATCTCCCAGAATTTCCCTTTGGTAAGACAAGAGTATCTTTTTTTGTTGGTGGTAGTTGATCAGTTTTGTTTTATTGCCTGTTCCTGGCTTTTCCCCACTCCCTAGCTTTTAGTAAAGCTGAAGCTGCTAGGTGTCCTTTCATTCATTATGAAGAGTCCTAGTTATCCTATCTGGCATTTTGCAGACAGATTAAAACATAATATTACAGTAAAGATCATGCACACAGTGAGAATACTTCAGTAGTATCACAACATATGACTCAATGTGTAAATATGATGTAAACAGTTTAAATGCCACAATCTAAATTCAGTTTTTAAATGTTCTTCCTCATGCTATGAAACCTTAAGACAGCTGTAAACAGTCCAAAGAAGAACAGCAAATACACAAGCTTTATAGTGCTTTTAGTATATTTAGGGCTTAACTTCACATGAGRTGTAAAGAATCTCTTTAACATAAGGGCAAAATCAGCTTAAACATTTTCAGGTTGATTAGAAAATTCTTTCATTTCCAGATACCATACACTCTTCTTTTCAAGATCAGACTAAATGGTATTAAAACATCCACARTTTGAAATTGCAGCAAAAAAATGAGAACTAGATGTGGTTTTCAGGAAGCTTGTTTTTCTTTAAATGCCTCTCTTTACATAAATGAAGGAAAGAGAATAAAACATAAGCCTGAGGCATTTGTTAAATGGTAATGACGTGTCTGAATCCTGAAAATATCTAAGATGTTTAAAAGTGTAGGAACTCATTTATCCTATTCATTCCTTGATATAGTTCCTTTGATTGCAAACAAAAAAAAAAAATCAAACAGATGCAGTAAGCAATCAAATGAATGGAAGGATTCATGCCGGGGTTCTTGGCTTGTGTGTTATAAACAATCTGTGTGAGATCTCCGCATTCAGAACTTCCATGAATAATTTATTGGTGAAGACTGGCTCTGTGAATATTTTCAAAACCCAGAAGTAGCAACGGATTGCTTGACAGCAGATAAGCAGTTTGGTAAATTATTGTTAAACAGACCAAATTATCTGGTTTTCATGAAGGCAACARCAAAGAGATATTTAGATTTCTGAGTAGTACATAAACTGTGTACAGCCCAAGAAGATCTAAGTTTCTAGGAAAGCATTAGTTACGTTGTATTGGCATACTCCAGCATCTAGATGCCATAAGTTTTTGGGKTTTTTTTCTGTAGAACCTTTTCCATTTTTCTATGTTTTCTGTGTGACTGGATTTCTCTGAAATGTCACCAGTTAAATAAAGAAATGTCCTGGTCAGTGAAAGCATATGCAATTGTCTCAAGAGTAGATCTGTAGAGGGGGCAAATCTAAAAGCAGGTACCAAATTTTCTCATCAAAAACTGTTATGTTAGAGATAATTAATTCTGAATAAAGACAAGAAAAGGATTGCATTGATGGACATGAAAAATAAAATGTTAGTCAGTTTTGTCTCTCAGTGGAGAGACACTTTAGAAACAAGGATGTTGTGTGGGGCAGTATCAAATGCATTGCAGAAGTCTGGGAAGGTGGTACGAATCGCTGTTCCCTTCACCAAGGCTGTAACCTCGTCATAAGAGGCCACAAAATTTGTAGGTGGGATTTTCCCTCAGAAAAGCCATGTTGGCTGCCACTAATCACATCCATTTTTTCCATGTGCCTTRGCATAGTTTCCAGGGGTTTTGATCAATGGTTTTACTGAGCATTCTAAGACTGACTGGTCTGCATTTCTCTGGGTTTTCCGCTTTTGCCTGTTTTAARGTGTAGTTTATGTTTCCCCTTCTTCAGTAACTTCACTGGACTGTCACAAGTTTTCACAAGATGGATCATGGCTTAGCCACTTCATCTGCCATGAAATAAATTTATCTCATCAGGTTACATGGATTGTGACAGGGTGATGGAGGAGACAGTGAAACAATCTATACTGTTCCCCTGAATTTTAGTTGCTTATGCAGGTCTAAGATGAGCACACAGTGATGAATTCTTACGTTGATCATTTGTGTAAATTTTGCATTAACTTTTTAATGATAAATAAGAGAAAAGGAAATAATGGGATTGTGCTTCTGATGCTTCCCATCATATCTGCAGCAGTGTACAAAAGTTTGTTTTTATTTGAACAGCTTTCTAAGATGCTTAATCTAAGTTTTCCATGTAATGTTAGACCACATATTTTGCTTTATCCCGTCTTTCCYTCTGAGACCAATAATTTTCTACTCAATAATATTTAATTGTCTTCTTTCTCCTTTTTAATTTTTGAACCAGTTTCTTAGCCAYGCAATGGACTTAGGGTGTATCTGCTTTGTATCAACAACCTGCATGTTAGGTGTTTTTGTGGAAGGATATAGGGAGAAGAATSCTACCTCTCTTTACATGTTGCTGGAGCCTCATTACTTCAACCACATCTGCTTTGCYCAGCAGAGCATTCAGTGGACAGACACGATGCTGCACTTGCCTGATAACCATGCTGGTTCATGTCCTGCAAATGTGCATGTGCATTAAGAAGTGGGAGAATTTTCATTCTTTTAGTYCTATATTTTTATTTCTTAAGGTTTCTTCTTCAGTTCCTGTTCTTTTCTTTCCAGTTATGCCACTCTTGTGCTTCCTGCTCTTTGCAGTGTGCTTTCCCTTGCTATTTTTTTTTCACTTTATTGCTTTCCTTCCACAAGTCTACTACATCAGCTCTTGTTATTCCATCGTAACGCTCAACACAACCTGCAACAGAGAGAGGGTCCAACATAAAGTTTTCATCCTAACTTACCTACACACAGAATTTTTCACAAAGAATGAAGTGGTTTGAGGCAGCAAGCTGCTCATGACTGGAATTATAACTAAGGGATGAGCTAAGAAATAGCCACAAATCCCAGCTGAAACAACTGGCTGCCAGTATCTGATCATGGAAAAACAATAATAAACATTCCTGAGGAATAATGATTATCCCTAGGCAGGTAGGCTGATAACTTCTTTTACAGATTAGGGTGTGGTTTTCAGCTTTCCCAGGCATCGGTTATTTATTGGGAAATAGTCATAACACTGAAAGAATTCCAATACTTCAGCTAAGAACTCTGGCAGACTGGAAGGYACGTGATCAGCCTCAGAACATACTAGGTGCTGTTTTGCAAGGGCAAAAATGCTTACAAGTACAGGTCAGCAGAGCACTGCAGGATGTGAAAGCTAGCCTTCTGAAAGTTTGAATCACTGATTCTGAGTCAGACTATGCAAACATTACATCTACATCCAAAATCACTTCTGCAAACAGTGTGCAAGTGTTTTAACAACATGATTTCTTGCAAAAAATTAGATAGAGATTGAATGAATCATGGTGCAAATCTAAGATATTAATGTCTTTGCAGGTCTGGAGCCAAGAATTGCAACCAGATGGGACATTCAAAAATACGCTAGAAAGGCCTATGACTTAGGAATTCGTTTCATTGGAGGCTGCTGTGGATTTGAGCCATATCATATCCGAGCGATAGCTGAGGAGTTAGCTCCTGAAAGAGGATTTTTGCCAGAAGCTTCTGAGAAACATGGTAGCTGGGGTGATAACCTAGGCATGCATACCAAACCCTGGGTCAGAGCAAGGTAAGTGTGTCTGACCTRGAAAACAACATACCTTTTGCAAAGGCTTACATTGCTCCACACAGCACATGGGCTTAGCTGATATGGGCATCTAAATATCATTGTAAACATTCAATTTTTAGAATAATATGTTTAATATTTAATAATGTCAGTGAATTAAAGCTGACCTAGGAGCAGGGAAAGTAGCGAAGGAGAAGTAGTGGCGATCCTCTGAATATAATTCATGAAAATGAAAAGGAAAAACTGACAAGGGTATTGTAAATCACCTCCTAATGGTGGCTGGCTTCCAGTAGTCCTTTCAAAGATGGAAAGATACTTTTAAAGATACTTTTTAAGCATGTAGCATTTMATTGCATATTTTCATTCATGCTTYTGTGTCTAAATATAATGTCAATCTGTACAAGTTAGATGACCCTTTGCAATTGTCATTTAATCCATATTTCCTTCAATATTATGAGGTGCCGGGGAAAAAAAATTAATTTCCTTTTCTTTCTTTAGGGCAAGAAAACAATAYTGGGAGAATCTGAAGCCTGCTTCAGGCAGGCCATATTGTCCTTCCATGTCAAAGCCAGATGGCTGGGGGGTGACCAAAGGAGCCAAGGAGCTGATGCAACAGAAAGAAGCAACAACTGAACAACAGCTGAAGGAGCTTTTCCAGAAACAGAAGGTCTAATCCATGGGAGTTGTGTAAATCTTCCAAGGATTTATCTACAGACCATCTCATGCTTCACAAGAAAATCTGTGAAGATGAGTGCTGTGTTGATTTATCAGTTAAAATGTAATGAAAGAGATAAAATGCAGAGAGAATGTGAATTACATAGTAACATGTAAACTTTGATAATAAAATCTTTCTCTGGACAAATAGTTTAGAGAATACACAGTCAAAAGTAATTTTTGATTTTCATAATAATTGAGCTTCAGTTAGCTAGGTACCATCATTTGGTTAGACACAGAAATACCTGGAAAGTAATTATTGGCTTAACTTTCCTGTGGGGGAAAAAAAATAAAAGTCATGTATAAATACAGTGGACTTCATCTCCTGAGTGTCTTTTCAGTTTGGCATTGTAGGACCTTCCTCAGACCTCAAGATTTATTGAGGATTAGTACAGGAACACACAAGGTGCCAATTATTTGTAGTCACTTCCTTGGTTTCAAGAGAATAGAAGTATACAGAAAAATATAATTGCAGTAAAAACATAATGAAAATTATATCTTTCAGGAATTTCTTATATGAAGGGGACAAGATTCAGAGAACTTTTAGGAGGGAAAAATGGCAGCAGATAATTCAGTTTTTGTCTTAGGGTACCATATCCATAAGACTTACTCTTCTGGAAACTAAAAGGCTTAAGATGCTAAACTACAATTTAAAAAAAAAAAAAAAAAAGGCAAATAAATTAAAAATAATATGGTGGAACAGTATGGTATTATCTTCACACCTTAAATCGTAAGTGCTCAAAAAGAATATTGTATCTCTAGTGAAAAACTAATCTTCAAATGATGCAGCTGATTTCTGGAAATCTCATTTTAATTACTTGGGCTCTTAAAATAGCAAAAAACCTGAAGGTTTCTAAGATAACTCCTAWTTGTAAGAGTAGTGCAACATGCCTTTTTCTTAAGCTCATTGATTCACTCTACAATCTCAGTTGTAACAAGTGAAAAACTCTGTTAGGAAATAGATGARTCCATGTAAGTTAAGAAAACCCGTGGAATTTGTACACTGATTTATTAAGGGTTTTCATAAGAAGGGTACCACTGTATTTGGAACTTGTAAAGGACACATTTCCCTCATTTATTTTTGTGAAATAGCACACAACTTTGATTTCTGTCTAAAATGAATTCACACCCATCCTACATTAAGGCAAACAGCTTTATGAAAATCTCATTGTCACAGTGAGTGTTGAAAGCTTTAGTTCAAYTGCTTTGATGTATGAGCTTATTTCCTTGTTTCTATCCATGTTGGTATTCTGCAGTTCAGGAAACACTTAAATCAGCAACACTTCAATGAGAAACTTCAGGTATCCTTTTCAGACTGTTATTGGCAGACAGGTATAAACCTCTCATCCCCAGGCTTATAACATATTAAAATACCTACTAGYTGGAAATTTTGCCTGAAAGCCAAARGAGACAAACCAAGAAAGTAGATATTTTAAAATGCAGATTATCTGAAAAACATATATATAAGTATATGCTTTATGAATTTTATATGCTTTATAAGCTCCTTTCCTTCCTAAATGCTTCTCAGTATTTCCTCTGCAGAGAGCAGAATAATGCAAAATCTGTAAAAGAGGAAGGCCAGATCTTTGATCATCACCAAAATGCATGTAGCATTAAGGATATATACAAGATTAGGTGGCTTAAAATACAGGCTACAATTGATGGAAACGTTTTTTGAACAATCATTATCTGTTCAGGGATTTCTTGTGGCACAGAATGCAGCTTGACCATCACACACTAACTGCATAAGCAGCTAGGCTGTTTTTTTGGGATAATGTGCAAAAATTTGTGTTGAAGTAAATGACTTCACACCACAGAAAACTGTAGAACCTGGTGTTTATGCAGATATGATTTTGAATGTTTAGATACCCAGTTTGAAAAGGATTTTAACATACTATGATAAGAAAGAAATATTTAAAGGCTATTTGAAGGCATGGAAAATGAGAGCTGGCCCAAGGGGTGGGTGAAAAAAACATTCMCTTTTGATTCATATCACAGGCTGGGCTTATAGAAGAATTTACAGTGGGATGAAAACAAGTTTAGGGTGCTTTATTGWTCACTGAAGAACCCCAATCTATCAAAAACACCCAACCACCCTCAAAAATTCCAACATCCCCTGCCTCAAAAAATCCCCAAACACAAAAGAACACCAACCAGCAAAGCCAGCCAAGCTTTCTTTCACATTTAGTATGTGTAACTGTGTAACATCTTAGACATAAGGAAACTGTTAGGTTTCCATAGGTTTCTAATGATTAACTACATGACTTATTAAGGAAATAAGRAAAGCTGACAGCACAGTCCAAGAAAATTTGTTTCCCTGGAAAGCCTGTCTGAAGACTTAGATAGGAAGTTAAAGGTGCTTTAAAAGGCTAGCTCCTATATTTAGCACCTTAAGGATCATTTATTTGTGGGAGAAGGTGTCTGTTTAACCTGTTGGGAAATAAATCTAATGATGTAGTTTCCATGCCAAAGCCAGGTTAGCTCAATGTTTACAATCACATGAACACRAAATATTCTGAGTTGGAARGAAAACTCAAAGTTCATGCCTGGTTACTTCACTCTTAACAAAATTTTCCTAATTTGAGCATTCCTTGATGGAATTTAAATCCATTATTTCTTCATACCTCATTAGAGACAAGAAGACATGAAGAATCCTTTGCTCAAGTCTGCTATACATTTGAAGATTTTCTTACATTCCGTATTTCTGTCTCAATCTAAAAGACCCTGTCCATTCATTCTTCTGTTTGAGTCTGATTTATCATATAGCCAGAAATCACCTCCATCAGACCTTTACCCCAGAGTTTCCTGTGCCTATGTTTTGGTGGTTTTTTTTACCATAGAGAGCAGAAGTGAAGTGATCTGAGCACTAGAAGTTCAGATTGAGAAGTGAAAAGCCAAAGTCTTTGACTTTTTTGTAATCTAAAAAATAAATCTTACTCATGAGGTTGAATGTCAGGACAAGAGGGACCTTGAACAAGCCATAAACTTCAGAAATCACTAGCTATCTACACTACACATGAGAAGATGGCTACRTATTTAGTCAGCTCTGAAGTTTCCAAAGACCTCATGCAAAAAAGACTAAAAACCTTCTGTGTAATGGTCAGATGTTGGTCTGATTTATCTGTAAACCACAGAAATGCAAGGAGGGTGTTGTAAAAAAGGAAATTCAGGACTAAGTAACAAAGCCCACAGTTTTTTGCAGAAAACACAGCTTTTTTYCCCCTATTCTTCTGAAAAGGAAGTTTTCTAAGAATCCTACCAAATCTGGCATCTTCAGATRCCACAAATATCTTCCTAAAGCAGTTTGTGGCTTTGCCTTATCTTTCAACTCTATTCACAAATGCAGTAGCAGGTTCATTGACATTTTTAAAGTCTAAATGATGAAAGAAGAGTCTTCATGTCTGTCTTATTCTACTCCATTGACTTCATAAAATAGTGAACATAAACGAATCCAAATTAATCCTGCATTAAATTAAGTATAGACAGCATTGGAATAGGATGGACAGAATATTTTTGTGAAGTATATTATTTCAGCAGCTTGCTTTGTTACATAGTTCCTCATTACCTTTTTCTTATGTTACACTTTATTGAGAGAGATGCTATTTGGCATACATTTTATGGAATCATGGTACTCAGTTTTGTCAACGGTGTATACTTCTACATGTACAACTCCTGAGACAGACAGCAATCAAGTACACCCCAACATTAGGAAGCTGAAGATGAATTTTCCAAATATTTTGGTCAACTTCACCCCAGATCTTCCGTGTCTAGTAAAGTTGTATATCTCAAGAGAAAAAAAAAAAAAAAGGGTAAAAGGACTTGATGCAATTCAAAGCAGATTGAGAAAAGTATGTTTGGAATAGGGAGAAGAAGTGTGACTTACAATTAACAAAACAACAGCAAATGTGCGTCAATTGAACTAAGCTTTACAAGCATTACCAGTTGTCACTTGGTGGTTCAAAAGTGTTTTGCAGCAGTCATTTCCAAACATTTGCATGTCATTGTTTCCATGCAATTGAAGAAAGAGATCAAGTGGCAACTGAAACATGGGAAGGAAATTCCATAATCCATTTTTATTTATAATCAGTCAATCAATCAATCAATCAATCAATCAATCAATCAATCAAACAAACAAACAACAATAAAAAAAAGATCAGTTTCACCCAAGAGAAAAAAGAAAGAATAAAAAGACTCTACCATACTTTAGGTCAACCAGCAGTATTTTTCTGCCCCATGCAGAAAAACTTCCATGCTATTTTCAATTATATCAGCAGGTATGCTGGAAGATCCTGCTGGCTCTTCTTACAAAGGTTTTTGTAAAAAAAAGCTCTTCACAGGAACATAACAATATTGTAGATTCACGGAAAAACAGAGATGTGTCCTATGAAGGCAAAGGCTTTTTAAAAAAATCATGCTTCCCAGTATAGCATTTCTTACATTTTTTCTGTCTGATGACATCTCAGCAAAGGGTGCTTTCCAAATACAGGCCTGAAGCAGTCTGTGCAAACGCTGCCTCCAGGTGGCTCTGTGCGCGGCTACAGCACTCGGGAGCGTGTGCCTCTAATGGCTTCTCAGATCTGCATACACAGAAATCAGAAGAGCTGGTAATTTCGATTTAACTGCAGAACAGGCTTAATTACACCTGTATTTTCTACTTAACAAGGAAGTGTCTTCTTTACAAGAACTGTAAAAGCTAATTAAGTCTCCAACTGTGCACTATTTTAGTCTTATTTTACTTCCTCAGCTATAGGACTGGCTGGACCAAAGATTTTCCTTGAAGATGGCAAGGTCGGTCTTATCTTTAAAAAAARTCAAGTAGCATAAATGTAGACAAACATTTTAAATTATAGGGAATGGGACAAAGGACAGAAAAGTTGGAACAGGTACWCTATAGAGGCAAAGAGGCATCATGTGCACTGTTAAATGATGTACAACACTGCRTCTACTATTAGCACAATTTGGATCTGATAAGTTTGGAGAGCCATGTCCTCTATAGCCACTGCTTTCTGCAAGGGCAGACCTTCAAAGATTTCTCTCTGTTATGTTAGCAACACTGGCCCATAACTGAACAGCTAATTGAGACTATATTCTTTAAACCGTCTACTACTTTTCCTAATGCTTCTATGCATGTGAGAATTTGTCTCAGACAAATCATTGTCATTCCACCCTACTTTCATACTGCTACACCTATGTTTAATGTGACTGGTTTGGCTGGTTCTGCTAGGCAGACAGGACTCATAAAGATAATTAGTATTTGCACCATTGACCTGAAAGACAGTTTGCTGGGGTTTTTT